AACTGCAAAACAAACTCCTTTTGTACGAGAGAGATACCTCGTTACGCGTGACGACCAGATGTAAAACCTAGACATCGTCAGGAAATGGGCGTTTTTACTAATAAAACTGCAAAACAAACTCTTTTTGTACGAGAGAGATACCTCGGTATAAAAAAAATATATATATAAAACGTCATTATAAAACAACGTTATAAAAAAACATCGTTATAAAACGTTGTAAAAAACGTCATTATAAAAAAAAAGAGAGATAAAAAAAAATATAAAAAAATATAAAAACGTCATTATAAAACGTTGTAAAAACGTCGTTATAAAAAAAAAGAGAGAGATATTAAAAATGCGAGAGAAAAAAATGAGAGAGATATTATAAAGAAAATACGAAAGAGATATTAAAAAACGCGAGAGATATTATAAAAAAGGGAGAGATATTATAGAGAAAATACGAGAAAGATATTAAAAACGCGAGATATATCATTAAAAAAAAATGAGAGAGATATTATAAAAAAAAAACGCGAGAGATATTATAAAGAAAATACGAGAGAGATTAAAAAATGAGAGAGATAAAAAAAAATTCCAAAATGTGGTTTATTTATAGAAAAAAAATAATCAGTGGGTATACACAAAATTACGTAACTATTACAAAAAGTTATTCAAAATATAAGTAACTCATTGATCTAGACCTAGCACTTTTAAACGGAGATGTCTCAATAAATAATTATAGGAGTAAAATCAGTACAGTCTAACCTCATATTCTTAAAAACTTGATATACCGATAAAATTTTATTTTCAATATCGGTATAACTTTGATATAACGATGTTTCCTAAATATTTCATACATGTTTGACTGTAAAACTTTATTCCAACCAATAATCGAAGATTTGTAAGTTATTAACAAAATAATGTCTGAAAGTTAGATTTATGATTATTTATCTCTAGAAACCGCTTCTATCTTTTTTTTTGTACTTCGTATAATTCTTTAAGTAAAAATTAATGAACTCCAGCTACAATAACTTTTCGAACAGGAGAAATTCTCCTAGTCTATGGCCTACCATTCTAAAATATCGTACGAATTACTGTACGTTTCTTATCTCTTTTTGTAAGAAAGGGATACGTGTACGTTGAAACGGTAAATTTCGAACGGTTAGTTTCGCGTTGCAAAACTTTGAATATTTTATTATTTTTTTTAAGAAACGCATTTAGTTTCGGTAAGTTTCGCAACTATTTAGTTGCGAAACTTTATATTTTGGTTTTTTTATTAATAGAAACGTTTTTAACGTTTCGTTTATTATTACCCGTGGCGAATATGATATATATGATATATTCATTCAGCCAATCATTCACCGAGTTGAACGGTTAAAAATTTGAAATACTTATCCGTATTTTGTTTGATCGGTAATTGAAGTTTGTAATTGTGGTATCAATTAGTAATTTTGTTTCGGGAATTGTTTCAATTGTGAGAGATACTAAAGGTATAAATTTTCTTAAGTTCGTTTGGTTCAAAAAACTGGTGGTAAACTGAACCGACTGTACTGCGGTTTAAGCCACAGTTTGAACTTTTGGCTTCGAAAAAATTTTTTTAGAAAATTATAATATTTACACTGCCATCCGTGAAATAATTAAATTATTGATATTATCTAAATAGATAATTTTTAGCTCATTATTGATCACTTAAGCAATCTCTTTTAAATTAATTAACACTTCATATGTTTTTATCGGTCAATATTCCATTTAGGGGCAATTCAACCCAAATTGTACTGTACATATATTAGATAATAAGCAATTAATTTTATACTCATAAATTTTGAGTTAATCCACCCGTCCTATAAAAAAGAATGCCCAGAAATTGGTCATCGAAAATGTCCGGAAAATTAGTCACTTTCAGGACACCAGTCCTAGACATTTTCTGGACATTTTCTGGAAATTCAAAATGTCTCGGCGTCCGGAATATTGCACCAGACATTTTCCGGACACCTGGACACATTTTTAATGCCCTATAAAAAAAAGAATGTCCGGAAATTGTCATCGAAAAAACAGCTTTATATGTTTTATGCATGCAAGGATGATGATTTTAATTTTAATAAAACTTCGTAAAATTTATTTCTTCTATTTTCTTTATTTTCTTATTAATATACTGAATGTCCGTCTCATAAATTTCTATAGTGAATCAAAAAATTTAAATATGATATCCTTGATGTTTCAAAGTTAGATAAATGAATACTTTTTTATATTTTTAATATTTTAATAAATTCCAGGGTTCGGCCAAAAATTGTTTTCTGAGATTTTATTACACGCTAATCTATCTAACCTTTTAAAAAAGATAAAAAATATAATTTTTAAGAATTTGTAATTTTTGTACTTTCTTTTATTATATTGCCCTGTAGAAAATGTTTGATCCGTGTTTATATTTCCATGTTTTTTCCGTGAATGTATCATTTTCACGAAAATTACAGAGAAATAATGGAAATATTCGGATAAAAAATTTTTTATAGGGTTGATATAAATTTATTAATACTTTTAATTAATTCCTTGTAAAATTTTACCCTAATTTGTATAATTCAAAATTCCGTTTAGGAGTGCAGAAACCCTACAAAAAAAATTAATGAAACGTTTGTCAACGTTCCGTTTGAGTAAAAAAAATAATTTCAAAGTTACCTTCGAAATGGAGCCTGGGACCAGTACCTTCGTGTTCTGACCTACAAAAAAGTTAACGTTTGTTAAAATAAAAAATTTTTTTTTCAAAGTTTAGCTTCGAAATGGGCCCGGCGGTACAAAAGATAAAAAACGAATGTTAGTTAATGTTTGTTAAATAAAATTAATAGTAAAGAAAAAATTAATTTTCGAAGCAAAATCTTATAATTAGCCGAACCCCATTTATCAAAGATTTAAATTGTATTTGTACCATAACATTGTATAATTATCAGCGTGTTGGATTATGTATCTTTGCATGTAAATTCATAGAGTCTATATTTATAAAAACAGTAATTTATTGAATCATTTGGATAATTTTACACAATCAAATGATATAAAATAGAAAAGAGGATAATTAATAATACATACGTTTATTTATACGTAAAAAAAATGAAAAGACTAAAAAGAATTAGTCAAATAGAAAGAAAGAATAGTAAATAATATCGGCAATAAAAAAAATCATATTTCTATTTTATGAGAAACACCAGTCGAAATTACTTGAATTCACCAACTAATTATGTCTGTATTATTAAATTTTTTCTGTCGAATTTAAGTGATCAATAAAGTTTAAAAATTGTATGTGCGCGAGCGTAATGGATGAATACTATTCGCTTCTTCATCTATTATTAGTGGATATTTCCGAGTTGTGAAACGTTTCCATATATCATTTAATAGAACGAGGAAGCTGGAAGCAATAATATTAAATGAAGTTGATATTAGTACATTGACTACATTAAGAATGATTACTTTGCAACGGGTTTATTTTCATTTATCCGAAGAGTACTCCTATATGTACGTGAGAAAAAAATCATAGAATTCATAGAACTCTATGCTTTCTTAGAATCGGGGAATTCTATATGAAAATAAATGTGTTTATCATGTTTGTTACGTTAGTTTTAAAAAGGACATTTTTATTCAGAAAGAATTTTATTTTTATTTTTATTAGCAGATGAACCAAATTGAAGTACAAGATGTAAAGACAACAATAAATTGAGTCTAAAACAAACATGGCTACAAACAAAAAAACCGCCACAACAGGCAGTGACATCTGATCATTAAAGGACAACAAAACGGAACAGTTCCACAAACTGTCCCAGAATGCGCCGCCAAAGAACTTAAAATAAAATAAAAAAATTAGTAAAACTAAATTAGGATTATACACGACCACTAGGTGACCAGAAGTTTCAATAATTGGGTAAGCAAAGAACGTGTATCATCAGTCCTTTTGACATGTTGTAATTTGCCACGCGAACGAGTCGAAGGCTTAGGCTTACCGCCCACAGCTTTCCCTTTGCCTGAGGTCGTGTTTTTCTTTTTGTCGTTAGACGACTGTCTCGAAGGTCGAGTGAGCGAATGGGATTGGGCGACTTTCCAAAGATGCGGAGCCTCCAAACAACGGAGGAGGTGTTCATGCGATTCAAAGTAAAAGATCCCATATCTTTTGCTCTTGTCCATAACTTGCGTACAGGACCTGGCTTTTTTATTCAGAAAGAATTATTTTTGCGGAACGCTATTGCCAAAATGGAAATGACCGACATAGCCGTGAATTATAATTCAGGCCAGGATGGCCAGGATTATATATTGGCCTGAATAACTGCTGATCAATAGTAATCATGTAATCATGTAGTGATACGGATTATCTGACGGATGAACCTTTGGATTTGGATTTGGATTTTTCTTGACGTATGACGGATCAGATGGTTCAAATTTTCCCGGATGACGGGTGACGGATGATTCGCGGATTGGAACAGATACAGAATGATGGAAATTCGAGGAATTTGTGGAAATAAAAAATAATTAACTATGTATGTGGGTAAGAACGTATAGACTAATTGGAACTCATCGTTTGTTCACATCACACGACAAAGTATATAGCAATGTTAAGTAAAAATGCGTCTTTGGTTTATTATTTGTTTAAAAGAAAAAAATACATATTGCGATAATAAAAAAAAATATTATAATTCATTAGGGCTTATTGCCAGACATCTTATTAGTAAAGAATAGATTAAGAAATTGTGTATAAGAATCATGATTAGGGAAATACCCCAATCCCCTAAACCATCTTCCCACTATATGTCTTAACATTAAGTAATGCCCATTTGGTAAAATCATTGCGTACATGTATGACTCCTTAGGAACGATATTATAAATGTCTAATTTTGATCCGATTAGCTCCATTCGATCACGTTTTTTATTATATTTAAATTCTCTAACCACTCCAATAATATCACATCCAATCACGTCGTTAAGAATATTGTCTTTTTTTAGATCTAATCATCTGATTCGTATACCTCGCTAACGTTGGGAACTCGTTTGAGTCCAGAAGCTTGACCACAATATTCACCTTCCTTACGGTTGGTGGTTTTGGTTCTTGTTGCGGAAGGAGTTCCATTGCTTGTTTTCCCGGCGTTTCGATCCGCATTCCTGGGGTTTCTCTGAGTACTAACTCCATTTCTGCATTCTCTTCCTCCGTCAGCATATTTTCTGGTTCCTTAAAAAGAATTTTATTTATAAGTTTGACTATATAACCAAACATATACATGAAAACGAAATAGTAGAATGAGTACAAATCAATAGACTTACCAACTGATCTTTTCTGAGATTCATATTCATGTTTCAGATTCATAAGTACTTCTTCGTGTTCCTCATACGGTCTTCCCGCTTCAACCCACTTATTGTATTTATTCCAATTCACAGGGCACTTGGAAATTTCTATTGCCTTTTTTAGTACTTCTTCCTTAAATTGAGGAAAAAGGGACCGGAGAGACTGATAATCAGACATATTTACGAGTTTTTCTTAATAGTTTAAAAAAGTTTAAAGAGTAAGTGATGTAGTGATGTCATTTTGTGGTTTTTATTAAATTTAATGTAACACAAGCTCGGCATATTTGTGATTTGTAATGTCGCGAACAGATCTCACATGACCGACCTAGCTGCGGCACGTTATTATGAGAATTTACCCCACGTGATTTTGTGGCGTCTAAATTTTGATTGGCTTAATTGATTTTCGCACATCTTAAGAGAAATTTATCGATGACATAATTAGTAATACTTTTTTACGATGGAATTATTTAATATTATATTGCGAATGTAAAGACTTTCAAAAATAAATATATATATCGGACGTTAAAATACAGGATCGGGACTTTGCCCATGATTTACTACGCTAAGAACTATCTGTAGTATCAGATTTTTCCGCAAGACTGCTCGATGACCCATGATTTTTTCTCCACTTTTGAGAATCTGAATCCGGTTTTTGTACCTCCTCTAATAACCATGCAATATGACCGAGAACTTTCCTAACCATATTTTCCATATTCTCGTCTTTGTATACAAAGACCACCGGTTCAGATAGTTTGAATTTCAGCCTATCTTGGTCGTCAAGCGAGCATTCCACATTCCATAAAGTACTACTTTTCAGCATCTGTGACAATTCCGAATACCTTACCTACAAATACACTCTCTTCCTCCATCTCATTCGCCTTATGTTTACGGTTTGATCGAGTTGAACGACATTCTGTTAAAAAAATCTTCGTCTTTTACCTCTGTCACACCGACAGTTTTTGCGGTTTGGAGTAAGTCTATTGCGAAATCGACTGATCCGTGTCTATTTTGTCCTGTGATGTTTTTCTCTGGTCGGAGCTCAAACTTGCCTTCGTACAGATTTACCCGGCGACAAGATAGGAGAAGACATATTGTGATTTCGATGCTTCATTCTCGCTGATTGGAATGGACTTGAGACGAGCCTTCAGTAGTTCAGTTCAATTACAAGGTTGTTAAGTATTACCTTGGGAGAATCCTCTTTCAGTTCTTTATACTCGCAAGTGAGAGGCGGGAACACTGATAATGAGAGATCGTCTGATTCGCCAAGACCATAAAGCTGACACACCTTCGGAACGACCAATCTGAAAATGATTTCGAGGGTGTTTCAATGAACACGGTAAACTTGAGATTGTTCTTTGATACGAATATGTGGAGCATATCATGAAGGCTCTGATCATTTCGAGGAGAAAATTTTCCACTGTCATTTAACATGCTAAGTTCTGCTCCATTGGTTTCAAGTGCTGGTGCCTTGTACACTCCGTATGTGTTCTTTGAGGCCATCGAGGGTCGCAACCGGGTCAGTAAAAAATCATAACCTAAATTTCGTTTACCTCAGGTAAGGAAAAAATATGTACTATATTAAGTAATGGCGCAATGTTGAGTATATTCTATAAGATTCTTTGGATTGTGATATCATTTATTCTCTACAGTATAACTCTAATTGGCAAGATTTGAAGCAAGACAATAATTAATTACGTCATTTACGTGTTACTCTCTACTATTATGCTGTGTAATTTTTTTAAAATTTTTTTTTCTTTTAAGAGGTATGAATTAAATTGTGCAGCGCTTTTTTTGAGTTTTTGTAAAAGCTAAATAATTTATTATCTTCATAAAAAAAGTAAATGTTATAAATAGATGAAGTGAACTACCAACAAGTACCCATATAAAAATTTTTTAAAAAGATTACTCAATTTGTTTGTTTGTCACTTGCTCAGAATTATTTTCATCATCTATAGTTTAAATAAGACATTAAATATTTTAAGAATAAATATTACAAAGTAAGTAGTAGATTATATTACCTCTTAATTAGGAACCTCCAAGTCAAGTATTTGAGAATCTTGACAATCTTTTAATAAAGCGACAAAATTAGAAATTAGGGAATTAATTATTTGATGATAAAAAACTTAAATACCTTACCGTTATTATTTTCTTCATCATTTAGGTATAAAGATGTAATAATCGATGAATTAATAGGTTTTGATAAATTGCTAAATGTAAATACTCTACTAGTATAAATAGCATCAGAATTCTTTTCATATGAAGTTGAAATATTTGGTATTTCTTTATCGGCTTCTTCAAACATAGCCTTGATTTGTTTTCTTTTATAACCAATTTTTTCTTCTTCTTGATTTTCATTACGTCTAGTACAACCATCCCAAACCGCTAATATATCCAATAATTCATCTGCTGCTGGTCTTTGATCAGGGTTAGCATCCATACATCTATAAGCTAATTTTTTATAAATTTCAGGAGTTCCTTTTCCAAATTCTGGCCTGAGTCCATTACATATTTCTAATGCTAAGGTAGCATCATGTTTTCTTTTATGAAACGGTGATTTTCCAGATGATAATTCAGCCATAATTACACCAAAAACTGTAAATATCAGAGGATAATGTATATGGTTCTTCATTCAAAACTTCTGGAGCAATATATGGTAATACTCCACGTATTTTATTACATGATTTTTGTTCATTTGGTGACCCAGATAGTCCAAAATCTGAAACAAAAGCTCCTCCACTAATATTTTGTAATATATTTCCACTATGGAGGTCTCTATAAAAAAAACCTAATTTATGCAAACTATTGAGGTCATCTGCTAATCCACATAAATAAACAATTTTATCTTTCCATAAAAAGTTGCTGAAATTACTTGAAAGAAAACATTTCAAATTTCCTTTTTCTGCAAATTGTAAAATCATCATGAATTCTTTAGTTGCTGGATCTTTAGTCATTCCATAAAATTTTAATGATGATTTCAGCGATTTATTTAAATTCCAATGCGTTTGAAGCTATTATTTACATTAAATTGAATAAAGTAATAAGGTAGTTGTAATTAAAACATTTATAACTAAAAAATCATAAATGTAAAATTCGTTAGAAAATACCTCATTTAAATATTCAGCTGACATACTCTGCGATCCATTCAAATTTTTCAAAGCAACTTTCATAGGTTCGGGATCTAATTTTTTCCAACCCTCATCATCTTGTCTTTTATATTTTGCCCGACCATCAATCCATGTTGCGGAATACACTTTGGCAAATCCGCCTTCGCCAATTTTCTTTATATCTTCAAATCTATCAAATGATACCCATTCAAGAAATTCTGGATAATAATTACCATAATAATTTAATGCTTCATCATAAATCGTATTCTTGATAAATTCATCAATATCATGATTTTCACTGGTCCATCCTTCAATCATTCTAAATGGATCACATTCTTTACACCATGATTCTTCAATAAATGGCTTATCGCATTGAGAACACTTTTTATGGTTGATAGTCATCGCTGAATTACAATCTTTATCAGAGACATTTAAATTTTTAGATACAAATTCTATTGTAACTTTAGTTTCGTTTTCTTTGTTCATATTAATTTAAATCGTACTTTTTTTAACGGGAATGAATTATTATTGGGCGTTATTTGCAATTAGGCGTTACTTTTATTTACTTTTTACGAAAAAGGAATTTGATTTTCAAAATTAGTTAGTCGTAGATCACAGATACGTCATTTTAACCATTGAATTGATCAAAGTGAAAAACAATCAATTTTTTCATAGTTTCCTATACGAATTTATTATAATAATTAATTCATTAAGAACATAATTTGGATTATTGTTATTCAAATATTCCAAGTTTAAGCTTAAAATAAATTTATTTGTACGACATGTGATATAAAAGTAGGAAAACGGTAACCGTTAAAGTCTGTTGTTACAACATTAAACAAAAAAAAATTGATTACGAAAAATAGCAAATTATCAGTATTACAAAAAAAGGAATATGATTTAAAGGATTTTTCAAAACATATAAAAAATCATTGTTTAAATTTGATCGTTAACAATTTTTTCAACATGTCAAATTATTTATTTAGTTATGTCCTAAATAGCTAATAAGCTAATAATAGCAAATGGCGTCTATAGAATTTGAATTATTATTTTTTTTAACGTACAATGTATTTTATTATATAACGTCTGAGTAAAATTCAAAAATAATCTTATGGAAAAAGACTCATAATTTTAAGTTTAAAATTTAAAATATCAATCCAGGGTTATAAATTGAGTGTTTAAAATGGATAAATTCATACGAACTTTTATTGTATTATATTGCATCGATCATTATTTTTACATTTTTTTCTGTACAACGTTAAAAATTAAACAAACATTTTCTACTATACTATTCTATTTTTGGTATTTATAATAGAATTTATACTTAAAAGAAACAGAAATTAAGAAAGAAGCTTGATCTTCGCAATTAACTAATTATGTGGTAACATAAAATAACAAAAAATGTAAACTGAAAAGATTAGAACTGATTTAATTTCTTGAAGTCCTGGAATTCTCTTTGTTGCATTTCTTTCTGCCACAGGTTCCTATAAATTAACATTAAAAGCTTACATTAGTTCTAGCTCATTCACTTCAGGCTATAATAGCGAATACCAAAATGGTATTGTAAACAGTGACCATTTTGACAAGTGGTTGTACACCACAACCCAACTACCTTAGGGATAAGCATACGTTTCGGGAGTGACTATATATATGGTATCCTTCACTACTATCTATGTCCTCCAGATTGGACACCAAAATGGTATTGTAAACAGTGACCATTTTGACAAGTAGCCATACACCATAACCCAATTACCTTAGGGATAAGCATACATTTCAGGAGTGACTATATATATTATGGTATCCTTCACCACCATCTATATTCTCTATTATGACCATCAGATCCTTTGCAAGAGTGGCTCCAGAGCACTTGGCAGACCAACTACTATATCTTTAAGACGGTGAATTTGAACCTGATGACTTATATTCAGGTACCTTAACCAAGGCTCCACTTTCAAAGATATAACCTTGGGGTGGGTTCTCGTATGATGGGCCCCAGTCATCTGTTTGCAACCCTTTAAAGCCGTCCGGTCAGCCCTCATAAACCTTCGCACGTTGCTTTCGCGGTGTGCAGTCAAGGATTATGGCCAGTGGGTGATAGAATACTCTTTACCCACCTCTTTAAAATCCAGTTAGGTCGGAGGTAACATTATTATCTATAAAAGCCTTTTGTTGTTCGTCATCTTTTTTTTTTTAGGAGAGTTTAGTTTTATCCAAAAAAGCCTTCGTATGGAAGAGAAGGATAGACCTAAAAGGAAGACGAAAAAAAAGAAGTTATAACACCACCCACACACAAACACACACAAACCCACACTCCCGACCCACATACCTAAAGGAAGACGTGAAGAAAAATCGTCTTTTTTTTTGTTAGAAGAGTTTAGAACTCGGAAACAACTTTATTATCAACTTTTTGTTCATATTGTTCATGGTTTTTTTGTTAGGAGAGTAGGTAGTGACTTTTTTTTTTGTTAGGAAGGTGCCCCCTTTTTATATTATTTTCTTATCACGTGAAATAAGTCTACAATTACAACAATATTTATACTTTATAGTCTGAATATTGTTATCAACCATGATTAATAGTTTGTTTGATATATGAGTCATCTTATATAGTAAATTAGATAATACAAAAATTTTCTGTATTCAGACGGACCTTTAAAAATACCCGTTCTAATAATTTACATCGTAACATCATTGTGATCAAATTTCCAATAAAAAAATAATCAGTCGGCATTTTTTTAACTATTATCTTTTCAACCAAATAGAAATATATAATCAAAAAAGGAAAATGCAGGGGTGAATAAGAATGATGTAGACGAAGGAAGGAATATTACATGGGTTAACTATCAAATCGAGAATGTCCTTCGCTACGCTACGCTCCAGACAATTATTCTTAAAAGCTGTATTATGAACTATTGGTGTGAGTCAGTTTTTGTCTAACCGGTGGATAAAACTTTAAATACTTTGTAAGACAGAATAAAATTTTCAAAAAAACTATAAATAATACAAATACTAATCCTAAGAGAATAGAGTACTTTAATCATTTTACCCAAAAAAAAAAAAAAAAATAATTAAAATTATTTTGATAATTCGATCTTGTCATCCAATAAAAAGAAACAATTTCATCTCAAAAATACATTTATTATAAATAGATAATTAAAATAGTTTACTCTATTTATTTTTCATAATTGAAACGTCCAAAAGTAATTTTTCCAAGTCGATACCCAATTGTACTAGTGTTTCGATCCGTAACAGTTTTATCCGGTATCCAGTACGGCTAATTTAGGGTGGAACTACAGAACAATTATATTAATTCCGGTCGAATTTATAGTCCATTCAGAGCTGAGGCTTATAATATTTTTTTTCAGCCATAATCTTATTTAATTACGAAATGACAAATCCTATATAAATTCTCATCATCGGCCGTGTCATGTTTGAGGAAAAAAATTTATTTGGTCGTGTGATGACGAGTTTGTCCGATCATAATAGTTAAGAAATGAATCTATTCATTTATTAAATATTTAGATAAAGTATAATTTATATAAATTATAAAAGAATAGAAATAATATTACTAAATATATATCAGAAAATGCATGTTGTCTCAAATAAAAAGGAAGTTATAGGTAGATGAAAAGAACAAACAAAATCTCTAATCAATGAGATATTTAAAAAACGATACTACAATACTACATTTCTCATCGTCCTTAAATCGCAATTTGCTATAGCTTAAAAATCAATCATCAATCAGTATCATTTTCATGCGAGCTAGAAACTTCCAAGTTAAATAATTGAGAATCTTTACAATCTATTAAAAATGTAACAAAGTTAGTAATTATAGGATTAATTATTCGATAATAAAAGCCTTTAAACAAAATACCTTTGTTATTTTCTTCATCATTTAAGTATAAAGAAGTAATAATAGGTGAATTAATAGGGTTTGACAAGTTTCTAAATGTAAATACTCTACTAGTATATATAGCATCAGGGTTTATCTCATATGAAGTTGAAATATTTTGTATTTCTTTATCAGCTTCTTTAAACATAAATTTAATCTCTTTTCCTTTATAACCAAAATTTTCTTTTTCTTGATAATTTATACTTTTGATACACTTATCCCAAAAATCAATTATTTCATATAATTCAATTGCCGTTGGTCTTTGATGAGGATTAGCATTCATACATTTATGAGCTAGTTTTTTATAAAATTCAGGAGTTCCTTTTCCAAATTCTGGTCTGAGTCCATTACATATTGCTAATGCTAAGGTAGTATCATGTTTTTTTTTATAAAATGGTGGTTTACCAGATGATAATTCACCCATAATTACACCAAAACTATAGATATCAGAGGATAGTGTGTATGGTTCTCCATTCAAAACTTCTGGAGCAATATATGGCAATACTCCGCATACTTTATTTGATATTTGTTCATTGGATGGTCTAGATAATCCAAAATCTGAAACAAAAGCTCCTCCACTAATATTTTGTAATATATTTCCACTATGAAAATCTCTATGAAAATATCCTAATTTATGTAAATTCTTGAGGTCATATGCTAACCCGTGTAAATTGAAAATTTTATCTTTCCATAAAATATTGTTGAAATTACTTGAGAGAAAACATCTCAAATTTCCTTTTTCTGCAAATTCTAAAATCATCATAAATTCTTTAGTTTCAGGATCTTTTGTCATTCCATAAAATTTTAATGAATCATCAAATGATTGATTTAAATCCCAATGTGTTTTAAGCTATTATTTAAAGTAAAAATTATAACTGAAATATTAATATTTAATACATAGAAAAAAAATAATAATTAATATGCAAAAAAGTCACCTCATTTAAATATTCAGCTGATATATTCTGTGATCCATTTAACCTTTTTAATGCAACTTTTATGGGTTTAGGATCTAATTTTTTCCAATTTCCATCATCTTGTCTTTTATATATTGCTTGACCATCGATCCATATTGCAGTATATACTTTGGCAAATCCACCTACACCAATTTGTCTTATTTTCTTAAATCTTTCAAATGGTACCCATTCAAGAAATAATAGAGAATAATTATCAATACTAGTATGACGTAAATTTGTATTGTAAATCGTATTCTTGATAAATTCATCAATATCGTGATTTCCACTGCTCCATCCTTCAATTATACAACAAGGAACACATTCTTTACACCATGGTATACCATCTTTTTCAGTAGAACAATTTTTATGGTTGATGGCTAATTTCATGTTCAATTTTATTTCGGAAATAAATTGGAAATATTAAGGCGTTATTTTCTTTTATATTAATCAATCAGGACGAAAATGGTATCTAATTTCCAAATTTAGTTAGTGCCCTGTAAAAAAGTCGATCCGTTTTTATATTCCGTCTTTTTTCCGTAAAAGGCTCATTTCCGGAATTAAGAATAATTTACATTTTCCGTGAATGGATCCGTAAAAGGCTCATTTTTACGGAGTTTTTACAGAAATAACGGATAAAATTTTTTATAGGGGCGGTGGAACATAATCGATTTTTTTTTTACCGCAGATTTTATACTATCATAATCAACCAGATTGAATTTATTAAAAATATTTATATTTTCAAATTAAGTAAAATTTAACATAATCAAACATTGTGATATTTTGTTATATTTCACTGACATATTCTTTGATCCATTTAACGGTTCAGTCTTTTATATTTTGCTTTACCATCAAATCCATATTACCACCTTCACCAATATGTTTTATATTTTCTTGATAAATTCATCAATATCATGATTTTCACTGGTCCATCCTTCAATTATGCAACAGGGAGCACATTCTTTCACCATGATCTTATGTCTTTTTCGTTATAACAATTTTTATGGTTGATGATTACTTAATTAGAATCTTTATCAGAGGTATTTAAATTATTAAATTTAGATTCTATTTTAACTTGAGTTTATTCAATTTATGTAATACTTTAGCAGGAATGAACTGCGCTATTTGCGATTAGGATAAGTGAAATCAATTATCAAGATATTACTATTGATTTTTTTTCCTATCACATGTTCACACCTAGATTATTAATAAACTAGTACAGTATAATTTATATAATTTATAAATCTACATGAAGAAATAAATTGTAAAAAAGGTTGAACACAATGTTAATATTAATAATATGTAAATGTAATTACCAATATAAATAGCAGCAAATATACAGTATATATGTTACCACACAGTTGCAATGAGTTAGAGATATTCATATTAAATAATTTAGAATCTTTGAAGTCTATTAGTAAAAAATAAAATTAATAATTATAGGATTAAATAAAAATTACATACAAATTACCTTTATTATTTTCTTCGTTATTAAGGTAAGAAGTACAGTAATAATGGATAAATTAATGGGTTTTGATTTTTATGTTATACATATATTCTCTCTTTATTGAAAATCACGCCTTAAGGCTCAACGTAGACGACGTAGACGTATTGAAATATACATGTACATCCACACAGTTATCGAACACCGCGTCACGTGTCTAAAAAACTTAAACGAAAAAATAGAACGTAGATTAGAAAACTCTTTGCCCAAGTGACAACCGAATATCTCTCTTGATCTCATCAAGATGATGCTGCCGGCTGAATTTCCAATTTCTGGGTAGATATAGGTGTACAAAATCTGCAAGTTCCGTACTTCCGTCTCTCAATTGCCTCATCTCCTTGAAATTTCATCCGTTCCCTCCTTTGCCCTATACCTTCTTTTTTGATTACCACTAACGTGAGCATCTTATTTACTACTTCACCCTCAATTGTCTTCGAAGGTCGAAAATTATTTGTCAATAACTTTCGTATGCCTGTAGTCTTCATAAAATTTGCGTAGTGCATGCACTACTGTACTGGCGCTTAATAATCTTGTTGAATTTTGTATCGAAAGAAACGTGAAACCTTTTTTTCTTCTTGTAAAACGTCTTTGATCGATATTTCTCTATTTTTTTTTTCAAAACAAAACTTTAACAAGAATATATGTGAGTTATAATAAAGGAGTGAAAAAAGACACAAGTATAGTTTTTAACTCTTTATAAAACCTTTGATCTTTTTTTTGACCATGATAAAGTTTTTGGTCGAATGATCGACAAAAAGAGTTTTTCTGATACCATTTTAATAATTTTAAGAGCATTTCGAATCTCTTGTTACCCAGTTAAATGAACTAATTCTGAAACTTGTACACGAACAACTATTAACATACATGTGGCCGAAATTTTTTTCAATTTCGGCTACATCACGGCCCCAAAGTAAAGCTACTCCAGACCTGCAGCAATTTTTAGCAGTTTCGGCCAAATATACAATAATTTCGGCCAGGACTTTGAAATATCGGCCATATCAATCATATCAATATTTTATTAAATACAAGTTTACAAAAATCCCAGGCCGAAACTCTTTCCAAGTGTTGTATAGACATAGCAGAAGCCTTATTTCATTCAGATCTACAAACTGCAGATGATTAATAGCCGACATATTTTCGCCCACAAACCCATAAATGGGTAACAAGAGATCGGCACTCATATTACTATTAGTTCTACGCATCTCTTCGGGTAGAATTACATAATACCGCCGGCATTATCCAGCTCCGCATTCTACGCATTGTTACCTTACTCGAGGTTCTATATATATATACTCTAATAAAGGCGTTTGCCTTATTTTTTAGGAAAAATCTCAATATAATTTATTGTTCAGTAATGGCTAATAGTAACGACGAAGGTAAAAGCATATAGAATTAACGTAGATATTAAATACAAAATTGGAATTCTAAATTTTTTTTATAACAAATTTGCAATATAATAAAACTAGTTTCAATAATTGAAGAAAATAAAGGTAGGCAAAAATACAATGATAATATTACAGCCTGTAAATTATAAATATATAATTTTAAAATTTTAAACTGCGTTTTAACTATTTTAGCTCGTAAGTTATAGTTTGAATAATAGTTGAATTACTTACTCCTATTATATTTTAAATAACCAAATAATTTATTCTATTATTAATGTTATTATAGTTGGTAAGTTAATAGCCATATATTTTTTATTGTATTCTAAATAATATTTCAATTAACTAAATTCTTCACTAAACTAATTGTTTAATAATTAATGATGTTATAGAAAGTAAGTATTTAATTTTTTATATTAATTTAAAAATATTTACATATAATTCAAACTAATAATATTATTATTTAAATAATTAGATTGTAAGTCACTGTATATATTCAATTTTTATATAAGATTATAATATTTTATTAATTGATTATAATTATATTACTTTAAAACTATTATTAATTAATAATACTACAGGGTGTAAGTTACTTATTATTTATGTTTCTGTGACTTTTATATGCAAACTTAACTAAACCCTTTATTTAAAAATTTTAGTTGGTAAGTTATAAATTATTTATTTTTAATTGAAAATTTCTAAATATACACGGGCATTTCAAGCACGGAACACGTGACCATATAACGAAAAAATAATGCGAAAAAAATTGATAAATATACCTTAAAAAAATGTACAGTAAGTGTAGTTTACTTGAAGTGTCAAAGATGATTTTGAATGTTATTTTTGACTTAACTTAATTAACAGTTCTTTTTTCTTCGTTAAATTTAATAGTTACCTTTTGAGCCCCCCGTGTACAAATAGAAATATTGATTTTATTATTATATTCGTATAATATTTACTTATAATTTAAACTAACTAAATTCAAAATATTTTAGATGGTAAGTTACAAGTTATTTATTTAATTCTATAAAATATTAAAATATGATTTAAACTAACTAAATTCTTTATTTATTTAATAATATAGAACGTAAGATATTATTTATTCTATTATACTGTATTTATATAATTTTTGCAAGTAATTTAAACTAACTAAAATCTTTATTTTTAGTTGGCAAGTTATAATTTATTTATTTATATTTGTATAATATTTACATATTAACTAAATTCTTTATTTAAAATATGATTTATTTAATAATATAGAACGTAAGATATTGTTTAATTTTATTACGTTTATGTTATATTTACAAACTAACTAAATTCTTTATTTATTATAGAATGTAAGATATTATTAAATTCTATTATGCTTATATAATATATGCAGATAATTTAAAAACTAACTTTTTATTCAAATTATTTATTTAATTAATAATAGTGTGTAAGTTATTTGTTTAAATTTATATAAGGTTATATATAAATTATACCAACTAAATTTTATATTTTATTTAATACTATAGGGAGTAAGTTATTTATATAATTCTATTATATATTTTTATATAATATTTGCATATGATTAAACTAATTAAATTCTTTATTTGAAAATTATTCAAATCTTTTAGTCGGTAAGTTACAGTCATTTAACTAATTCTATTATATTTATATAATATTCACATATAATTTAAACTAACTAATTTCTTTATTTAAATATTATTCAAATCTTTTAGCTGGTGTGTTAGAGCTAATTATTTCATTCTATTTATCATATTTATATAATTTAAACTAACTAAATTCTTCAATTATTTAGATAGTAAGTTACAAGTACTATATTTATATAATATTTGTATATAATTTAAACTAACTAAATTTTTTATTAAAAAAATTATTCAATATTTCAGTTAGTAAGTCATAAGTTATTTGCTTAATTTCTATTGTATTATATAATATTTACATATAATTTAAAATAACTAAATTCTTTGTTTAAAAAATCATTTATTTAATAATATAGGAAGTAAGTTATTTATTTAATCCTATTATATTTGTATTATATTTGTATATAATTTAAACTAACTAACTGTGAAATTTTTTATTTAAAAAATTATTCAAATATTTTAGTTGGTAAGTTATAGTTTTTTATTTATTATATTTACATATAATTTAAATTAACTAAATGCTTATTTTAAACCATTCAAATATTTTAGCTGGTAAGTTATAGTTATCTATCTGTTATATTTATATAATTTAAACTAACTAAATTTTTATTTTAAAAATCATTAAATATTTTAGACGGTAAGTTATCTATTATATTTATATAATATTTACCTATAATTTATTCTAACTAAATTCTTTATTTTAAAAATTATTCAAATATTTTAGATGGTAAGTCTATTATATATTTTTGTTTATACAATATTTACATATAATTTATACTAAATTCTTTACTTAAAACAATTATTCAAATATTTTAGATGGTAAATTATTTAATTAATTTTATTTATGTTTATTCAATGATATTTACATATAATTTAACCTAAATTCTTTATCTAAAAAATTATTTGAATGTTTTAGTTGGTAAGTTATAACTATTATATTATATAAACATTTCCATATAATTTAAATTAACTAAATTCTTTATTTAAAAATTTATTTAAATATTTTATTAGTTTGTAAGTATAGTACATTACATCATCCAATTATAAAAATCCTGAATTTAATTTATTATATATACTAATCTTTTTAAAAATTTTTGGTAATTTATTTTAGTTGGTAAGTTATAAGTTATTATATATTATTTGTATAAAAATTAATTAATTATTTATTGTATTAAACTTCTAAAAATTTATTTAGAGTAAGTATAATTAACATTATTTAATATTTAAATTTTCGCTTTTATGTTTTATTTTAAATTTTTAACTTATATAATTTTATTTTTTATATTTAAAGATCTGGTACTAGTGGAAGTGAAATTATGGATCAATTTATTTCCGAAAATAAATTAAAATGGATTCCTTATAATAAATTTGAAAATATTAAATATCTTAATAAAGGTGGATTTGGTATTATTTATGAAGCTACATATAATAATTATAAAGTAATTCTTAAATCTCTTAATTATCTTAATAATTCATATGAAAGTTTAAATGAATTTTTAAATAAGGTATGATTAAATATTTTAATTTTAATTACAATTTATTTATGCTAATATATATTCTAATATTATGTTTTTTATAGTGGAAAATTATTGATTCAAATAAAATTATTAAAATATATGGATTTACAAAAGATCCAGATACTTTGAATTATATGTTAGCAATGGAATATGCAAATAAAGGTAATCTAAGAGGATGCTTAACAGAAATAACAAAAAATTGGGGACAGAAATTATATATGTTGTATAAAATTATTATTGGTCTTAAGGATATTCATGAAAAAGGTCTTATTCATTATAACTTTCATGATGGTAATATTTTATGTAACAAATATTCAGAAAATGTATATGAAATTTATATTAGTGATTATTTAAGATCATATCAACTTGCAAAACCTTTCTCAAAAGAAAATAGTATTTATGGCATTATACCATTTATGGCACCTGAAATTTTAAGAGGCAAACCTTATACTCAAGCTAGTGATATTTATAGTTTTTCTATGATTATGTGGGAATTTACATCTGGTATTCCACCATTTAATGATAAGGCACATGATCTTCAACTTGCTTTAAGTATTTGTAAAGGTGAACGTCCTGAAGTCATTGAAAATACTCCACAATGTTTTATAGATTTGATGAAAAAATGTTGGGATGAAGATTCATTAAAAAGGCCATCTGCATCAGAAATTTTAGATACTATTGAAAAATGGATTTTCCTTTCTTCTAATATAGAAAATAATAAAGTATTAAAAAGCAATATTATGGAATTTATAAATGCGCCAATTGGATACAATAACCTTATTGTAGAATCTCATTTACAAGCATATTATACAAGTAAATTACTTGATTTTACTAGTAAAGAATTAAATAAAATTCTAAAAGAATCTCAAGGGTTAAAAGATGATGATGATATTGAGCAGGAACTACTCAAATTAGGAATGATTGCTGAAACCAGTTCTCAAAATGAGCTAAAAGAGGTATATCAAAATATTCAAATAAAATTAGTTGATTTACAACAAAAGAATTTTCAATTTGAGCAAGATAATCAAATTTTAAGGCTTAACTTAGCTGTACAAATTAAAGAATTTGCAGAAAAAGAAAATACTTTACAAACACAAATTACTCTCCTGCAAAAGCAAGCCTTACTAGCCAGTGATTTAACTGAAAATTTGGAACAAAATAAACTGATTAACCAGCAAATTCAAATTCAAATTGACCATTTAGAGCAAGAAAAAATTGGTTTGCAAGAAAAAATAATTCAAACAGAAGCTAATAATCAAGAATTAAAATTTCAGCAAGAAAGTCTAATTGAACAAAAAGAGCAATTAGAAAATAAAATAAGTCAACCTCAAGATAATTATAAGGCAATAGAACAAGGAAAAATCAAGTTGCACAATATGGGAAGAGGCCTCTCACAAGATCATAAATTGAAAGCCAAATTGGAAAAGGAAATTGCTCAATTGGAACAAAAATTGATTATTGAAGATCAAATCAAAATGCAATTAACTCAAGTTTTACAAATCAAAGAAGATAAAGTAAATGAACTAGAACAAAGATTAGTTGTCCTTGATTATGAACGCATTGAAAGGCTAAAAGACAAAGAAAAAGAATTGAGTAAAGTCATAGAGGAATTAGTAAACAAATTAACTAGTGGAGAAAATACTAAGGAAATTCATAAAGAAAAAGAATCTAAACAAAGGGAAATGGTTGAACTCCAACAAGAATTATCAAAAACTTCAGCTTTTTATTATTCCAATAAAAAGAAACAAGTTCTTAATCAAGCAAATAATTTTCTAAAAGCCAAGGATAATTTTTTAGCTTCACGAGAAGAAGCTATTAAAAAACTGCAAAATTGTTGCAATAATCTGGAAAGGTTTACTAATAAAGAGAGAAATACTATTGGTTCTATCAGTGATATGAAAATCTTCAAATTGGCTGATAAATATACTAAAGAGTTTCAAAATACTCTTGTAAAATATAGTGATGGATTACTACAGTTGAATAAAGTTTATGACTCTTTAGTGGATATTGTTCAAAAAAATAAAGAGTTGGAAGTTAGTCTTGTTGTTGAAAATATGCTTAAGTTGAATTCTTTTAATCTTGACAAATACAATATTTTTAAATTTGTTACTAATTCTCAGGAAGGAGCTAGAACTCAATTAAATTCTAACATGATGATGGAAGATATAGATTCATTAAGAAAGAATTTGAATGAATTGAAATCAGAATTAAAACAAGAAAAAAAGGAATTGAAAAATTTAGCGGAGATTAGAATTAACTATATTGATGGAAGTTTATGAATGGCTATTGATTCATTGAAATGAACGTCTTAAGTATTTATTAGAACGTACAAATATACTCTAAAATTTATTAGAAATTTTGAGAATTTTTTTTTCATTGATCTATCATTATCTTATTATAATATTTGGATACTTTCTTGTTTGGTTTATCAAAAGGTTTTAATAAAAGTGTATTAAAAACTTTTTTTTAAAATGTGGTAGAGGAAGAATTCTTTCTCGTTTATTTAAAATAACCATTTTATATGGTGTAAATATTTTTCTTATATTTAAATTAAAACAAGTAAACTGTATACGATATATAAAATCATTTTTATCACGGTCAGTCATGGTCGATCATAGTTGGTCATAACCAGTCAGAGGCTTGACCGACCGTTTGTCTGACCTGCTAAAAAAAATTGGTCAAACGGTCAGTCAAATGGTCGATCGGTCAAACGGTCAGCCAGAAGTCTTTGACCGATGATATCAGTCACGGTCATGACCGGTTCCATCCCTATTCACTTCTAAAATTAACTGACTTCATTTTACTGACTTACAATATTTCACTAACATGATTCATCTACCATTGAAATTTTACTCAAGAATACATGGATAACATTATGATAAATAAATATACACCAAATTCTGAACTTGTCCTGAAACCTTTCCAAAGGATTGACTATCCAGTAACTCTTACCAATTTTTTTAGATTTTCAATTATATCACCTGATAATTTTTTCGTACTTTGAGCTTCTTAAAAATCCATTAATTAATTGATTTATTGTCACTCGTCCAGTTTAGATCTTGAAAATGCTATTTATTGCACTAATACTCTTCAGTTACTCTCATATTTATAATTAATAAAGAAAAATCCACTGCATTAAAATGATGTGATGTCGCAAGTTGGAGAGTTTGTACAAAAATAATGAGTAAGTTCTTCCTTTTCGCTGTAAAAAATTTTATCCGTAAATTTCTGTAAAAGCTTCGTGAGTATGATAATACATTTACAGAAAAATAACTAAAATCTAAGCAGCTTATAAATTATCTGAATATGATACATTTTACGGAAATGACATGGAATAAAACACGTTATAGGATTTTTGGATAATGTCAGGTGGTATTACGTAATTCCGGCCTTAAAGAGCTAATAGTAAACGAGTGGTGGTCATGTTACCTATTTATAAGTAAGCAATTTTATGCATGTCGGATTGTTGGTAAAACAGGTGTCGGTAAAATATTTTATTGTATATGTTCTATGTAAGCACTGGACATTTTTCAAGTATGTTATTGATCACTTTATAATAGTGATACACAAATTTTGGTCACTTTATAATTAGTGATATACAAAATTTTGATCACATTATTATAAAATAATAAATAAGATACGCGAAAAAGGTCTCAGTTGCTTTACGTCATACATATCCAATAACTTTATTATCAGTCATGTTTATGATAACTGATTTACACTAGGATGCTACTCTATCATGTGGCCTTCGGCCATATGATATACATAGCAATTCTAGTGGTAAATCAGTTATCATCTACAACATGACCGATAACAATTACGTATTTTATTAGTTTTATTATGCAGTTTGATATTTTTGACGTATTATAATCATTCAGATTAAACATGATCTCGCCTGTATAATAACACAATTATTGGGTATGGTGGTTAAAATACCCTATAAAAAGTCCACATCCTTAAAATGTTCTAGTTTTATGGTTAAAATATCCTTATACAGTGATAATATTCTTAAAATATACTAAAAATTGAACAGACGGTTTATTTAAATAGAATTTTATAATAATAAATTATTTTAAATTATACAAAAAATATACTGAACTTTTGAATTGTAATATTAATGGATATTTAAAATATTCTTATTGGATATGCAAAATATCCTTAAAATTAATTTACCAATAATTTAAGTATGAAATATTTCGATATTAAAATCGATCGGCAAAAAATATACTAAATATATTCTTAAAATAAAAATAAAAATGCCAACGTAATTAGATAATTTTTTTTTTTTTTTTATCTGATGTAG